TGATGATGTCCCCTAGTCTTTATAGATAGGCTCATGACTAGGGAATAGATTCATGATGCCTTCTGGGTCAGGGTCATCTGAGTCATAGTGTCTCTTTGAGTAATAGTATTCTTCGAGCTCTGGGTCATGGTCTTCTTGATTGGGGTCCTAGGATTAGCCACTTGTTTGGTGTACAAGTCTTCGTTAATCATGAGCATGGCCATGTGAATGCGATAAATAAGAAAATCACATGTCAAAGAATCATTGGAAGACTTACTTTTTGTTCGCTAGTCTTCACACGGTTTCACTTTTCCAGCTGTATTTTTATTACTGATAAGCACTCACTATTTTCTGTTGTTATTTTTCCCAAGAAGCATCCAACTCACTTTTCCGGTTTTCCCATTCATTTACTGAATAGGACTAAAAGAATATTTCTCTTTTTTTTTTTTCAAATCACTTGTGATATGCTTCGTCCGAATTAAAAAAAAAATACATCAGACTAACTAATTTAACTAATATCCTTAATCCACTTAAATTATTTAATTAAATCTTAAAGAATATATATTTTTTAAAAAAACAAAAATTTATATGATAATAAATAAAAAAGTAAAATAATATATTCGTGTTAAAAATTTAATAAAATTATCTATCAAACATTCACTTCCCCTCACTACGGAGTACTTTAGTAGCCGAGCAGCGAGCGAGCAGCAGCGGCTCAAGTGGGCATAAGGCTTCCTTGTGATACAGACATCGCGGACTGGAACTGTGCTTGCAAACGTCTCTGCGTTTGCCTACTCGATAAAAGTAGGACTAAGTTGGTGATAGTAATGATGAAATGAAATTAATGCCGCCAAACACTTATTTGTTTATATCGTCTTGCATTTCTCTTTAATTTTTTTTTGTTATTTTGTTGTGTTCACTTCCCGTGATCCAAATGAACTTGGAGTTAAAACCATCTTGAGATCTGAAAATCATCTTATAACGCATGATATGTTTATAGTAGTCATGTGATCGCTTACTATCTCAACTATAAGTTTATTGATTTCTATATCCTATTTTAACTAATGTTCTTTACACATTTTTGTAGTTCCCAATTCAACATGTAAATTGATTTGTCATCCTTAATCTTGCTGTTTGGATTGAACTCAAAATTACCTGGTTTTTTGCATTCATTGCGGAGATAATGTCATGTTTGGCTTCTAAATTTCTTTATCTAGCAATATTATCTCCTGGAAAAAAAATAGAATTTCAAAACCAAACAGCAAACACACAGACATCTGCTTCAAATCAACCCAAAAAAAAGTGTATATTTTGAGCTTAAATGATAATTTATTTTTCTAGTTACATGTATCATCTTATTGAACGTAATCTTATTCACAATATTATCAGGCTCTAAATATAAGCACTTCTCTTGATGAGGATTCAAACTGAGCATATTCTATTAAACACAATTTCTGTTGGATAAAATGACAACTCATAACAAACCATCTACTTTGTTTTTTTTATCCCTTTTCTTGTCGCCTGTTTCTTCTACCCCTAAAGCCCACAAAAAAAAAATCAAAATGAACACTTAGCCGCCAATAAAGTCCTCAGTCAAAATTAAACAAACAGCCCAAGGATATTCAACAAAAATGCGTCAGTCCAACAAACGCAAAAATATTTGCCCATCTCAAACAATTAATATAAGCAATTCAAACGCTTCCATCTTTCCCGTGAGATGGGCCATAATCTAGTCTGAAGGATCTCAAGGCCTAGAAGGTAAAGTTAAACTTTCTTGATTGGAATAATAATGCACATTGCCGTTCTTATCGATTAGAATTTACATCAAATTGAAAGCATCATGAATACCACTCTAGTCCTTATTATAATTGGTTACTTGTAGAGGAAAATTTTTGTCCTTAAATATAAGTAACTTTTAAGGTATATGATGACTGTTTTTTTTGAATTTTATCCTTACTTAACTCTCACAGTCATTGGAAAGGAAAAAAGAAGAGAGTGGGATTAGAAGGAATGAATGATTTGTAAAAATAAAAAGAAAAGAAAACCTTAATAAGAGTAAATTTGAAAATTTTGATCAATTCAACGCATTCCTTAGAGTAGTACATAACACCAAGTTTTAAATTTTTTACTTGGTTTGAGGAATTAGTATGACATATGGTCTTGATTTGAAGATAGTAATCAATGGGAAGGGATTTCCCTTTGTTTAGTTGCCTTGGTCTCCTCTGCAGCCAGAACGTCCAATGTGTTTGTCCACAGTGGGTGATCTTATACCGCAACCAGTGACCTCGGAAAAGCAACAGCAAGGACATATTGCTTGTGCGTCACATAATACCAGAAATAGTCTGGAAAAGCAATGTTCTATGTAGGATTTAGATATTTATTTGGGAAGTTTTCAAAAAACTAGGTTGCTCTTAGAAAGTGTTTGAAGGATCATCACATGCAGGTGGCTACAAGAATCTAACTCTGAGTGGATAAGGCTAAAGCCTATCTTTTCTCAAGCTTGAAAAGCAATAGCTATCAGTTCAGACAGGAAAGCCTGCGTATTCTTATTCTAATGTCCATTGGAGCTTCTGTTTTCTTCCCGCTATGTGGCTATGCAGTTGGATACAAGATCATATGCAACAATTGTACACATGAAAGTCGATCAATATAATGGAACATCTCCCCGTGCACTATGATTTTGCAGTGAATATGCCGTTATTTTATAGCTTGGTCATTAGATTTGTCAACTAACAGTGCGGAGGAGGTAACATTTAGAAATAACTGCATTGATCATGAGAGAAAAAGGGTCATCTGCAGCTAATTTGGTAATGCTTCCAAAGTGTCAAGGGCAATAATAATCCAATGTTGCATGTTTTGCCATTACTGAGGTTTTGGAGTAGGTAATCAAGAACCTTTCATCCTATTTATCTGTTCCCCTATATATGTGTGTGTGTATTGTTGGTTAGTTTTTTTTCCTTCTGTTTTTTTGTAAAGGAAATGAATTTTCACCCTAAAAAATTAGAAAAGCTAGTTGTTAAATGCATTGTTCATAAAAAGAAGCTTCTTTACTATTTTAATTTTAAGCAAAAATTGGCGCAACACTCTAATTTTATCCTAATATATTAACAATTTACCCATGACTGAATATTCTGCAATCCTTGGACCACAATAGAATAAGCATATACAAAATATCAACTCCATTCCTTAATATAAAAGCTAGTGGACTAATTTGAGTAGATTAAAAGAATTAATTAAGTTATTTATAATACATAACTGTTGTTTTTCCTAAAATATTCTTACTAATCATATGTATTAGCTAGAACTACTATTTGATGAAACCTTTAACATGTACAACTATTACAAGAATTAGCTTAGAAAAAATAAATAAATATGATAGACAAAATAGATTAAAATCTTATATCAGAACCAAAATGAATATCAAACTACTGCAATGACCAAGGGTAGTAGTACGGAATACTCAAAAGCAAGGAGGAAAAGAAAGAGGGAAATTGAAATTTTTATTACAAAAGAATCCATATTTATTATGAAAACGAGCTTTTCCGCTTGATTGAAAAAAAGGTGATATACCAAATTACTTTGCAACATATAATTCTTTTGATGCTTTGAAACTTAAAAAAATAAAATGAAATAATTAAGATGACACCATGATATATAGAGGTTCAGATTCAAAAATTGAATCTTACATCCTCTCCCCAACCGTGAAGGTTGAGAATTTTATAAGTAATAAATATTCACAAGACAACATACATAATTCATCCTAATAACATTTATACACCCAACAAAGAAAACCATCATATATGTGTGTATATCACACAGATTTTGACCAAAGTATCATTAGAAGGAAAAAATAAAATAAAATTTAACGCACAGGAGTCACACAAAGAACACTTGCAGAAAATCAGAATCTTTTATCAAGAAGAGGTTGGACTTCATCAGGTTTCAATGGGCTTTTCATCTTATTTAGTGCAGGTTCAAGTCTGCAAATCCCTCTCTGTCCTTCTTGCTGGCGCTGCATTTTGAACATATGAAAGGAAAGTAAGTTCAGAGATGGCAAACAGATGGAAGAGAAAGGAAAAATAAAAAGAAATGGCAATCCATTACCCCCAACTAGCTTGTTACTATGATGCTAGTTAATCACAATCAAAGCATTAATTTATAGGATAGAATAATTAAACAAACACTGCGAGAGAATGAAAGGCTTTGGTTCAGTCCAAACCTGTTTAATTAGAATCCATCGGATCTTAATTAGAACATTACACCTTCTGAAGAAGAAGCACTGTGTTGCTTTTATCAGTTAGAACGAACACCATGTTGGACTTCATCTGCAACTTTCCCATAACAAGAAAAAACTCAAAACAGAGAAGATAAAACTTACAAAAACAAAAAAACACAAAAAGAAATGGTACTTGTTATGTAAACAGAAAGTTGTCTAGCTGTGTACCTTCACTATGACTTTTTGTGAATAATCAATTCCTCATTGGATGATTAAATCAGAGGATTTGGTGCACAATAATTTCTGTGAAAAAAGCAATTGTTTGAATATCTCTGAAGATAAAAGTCATACTGCTTTCCTCAATGTATAAGTAGTCAATTGGATTGTAAATTACATGAATATGTAGACCGGCCCGGTGAATTTATTGAAAAAAACAAAAGAAAAGAAAAGTGAAAGTAAGGTAAAGAAAAAATAAGTAAAAAAGTTAAACAAGAAAAAAGAAAATAATTGGGAAAACTGAAATCTGATGCTCTATTTCTTAACATCCCGTAAGTTACCCGAAGGAAAACTGATGTAAGAAATGCTGGTATCATTATAATAAATTTAAAATTGTGAAATACTTACATGTATAATTGTAACCATGTTAAGTAGCAAATATAGAACTTGAATCTAAATATGTAATTGGACCAAGTGAGTGACAATACGTACGTTGTGAATAATTGTACCTTAATGCTTAAACAGATTGATGACTGAGATGTGGGATATTCTGCCCAAAATTTGTTCATCTTTGTTGTGGTATTTTTCTTCAAGCAACGGACAGTCCCAAATGTGAAGCTTTCTTAAAGAAGCAGACGGCTTTTCTCCTGACATTTTCTCCAGCTTGGGACCATGCAAGATCTTTAGATGTTGGAGAGAGGTTAGGTGCTGCAGTCCTGTGCAATTCAATGTCTCCAAGCAATGAAAGCCATTGAGTTCTAGGGTGGTAAGAGTGGTAGGAAGAAAACACCCCTCTAGGAAACACGTAACTTCACTACACTGATAGATACGAAGGTAAGTGATATTACTTAGGAGGTGCCACTTTGCTTGATGGGATATCTTATTACATCTTTCAATATAAAATGTCCTCAAACTTGGCACGAGGATTTCTTCTGGAAATGCCTTCATATGTTGATAACCCCGCATGCGTAGCTTTCTTAAATTTGGGAGAAGGCCTTCCATCTCATCTGACATAAACTTCACAAAATTACAGCCTTCAATGGCAATAGACTGGAGATTTTGAAGAGGAGCATTAGAACCCATCACAAAATTGACATTTTCACACCAGCGTACCTCTAAATGTCGTAATAACTGGGGCAAATGAATCATTGGAGGTGATGTATTGGAGCAACAATCGATGACTAATTGTTGCAAATGCGAGTGTTTAGAGAGTGCCTCCAGCATTGATTCCAACATTTGAGATTCTGTTATTAGTAGCTTGCAAAGGGAAGGAGGTAGCTCTTGTTCTTGCCATACCATATTTCCACTTCCACAAGTGTTAAGATTCTGAAGTTTGGGACACCTCGGAATACAGGAAGAAAGCATTGGACATTCTAAAATCTCTAGATTATCTAGAACAAGCAGTTGGCACGATAAATTTCCAACTAATTTGTAGCAAGATGATATACAGAGTTGTCGGAGCTTAGGGAAAGCTTCCATGTCAATGGAATGCCATTGTTCCAATGAAGTCATCAACAAAAACTGGAGATATTCAAGGGATGGAAATGGTATTATGGAAGCACAATCACTACCCTTCAACAACTCATCTCCAATGCTTTCTACACTTTCTAAACGATCAATATATAATTTCTTCAGGGCAGGAAGCTACCCAAGAGGGGACAGCACGCAACAGTTTTTGCAATTACACAGTCACAACCAAGTCATGCTGTGGTAGAAAGGACTTCCTAACCAATCTGGAAATATTGTGCCCCTATAATGATGAATTTCCAATTCTTCTAAATCCCAATAAGGTTGAAGATTGCCCAAAATATCTCTCTCAGTCCTGGTATCTTCCACATCATCATACCACACCCATGATGATGTTAAACTTTTAATGTGCTTCTTCTCTATCATTCTCGCGTCACAGGCTTCATTTCCATTCTTGACATTCTCTAATTTACTAATTTTAATTATACCCTTCAAATTTGAAATTTCTCCCAATTCTCCAATGCTAGCCTCTTGCTCTCTGCCAACAACGAAGTCACTCAAAAACTGCAAATCTTTTATATTACCCAATCCCCTTGGCATTGCTTTCAGAGGAGTGTCTGTGACATCAAGATGTCGCAAGTTTACAAGATCTTAAATATCACTTGGCAGCATCTCTAGAGAGGTACAATGTCGCAACCTCAATGTTTGTAGATTGTATAATTTGCACAATAAGCCAGGCAAGCATACAATCTTGTATGCCCGAGATAGATCCCAATAGCGAAGATTTACAACATCTTGGATGTCCCTTGGCGGAATTATGAGAGAAGCACAATGACACAATTTCAACGTCTGTAAATTATACAACTTACCAATCGAATCAGGCAAACTTTCAATACATGTCTCTGACAAATCCAAATAGCACAAATGGATGAATTTCCCAATTGACTCAGGAACTATTTTTAAGGCAGACAAGTCCTGAAGTGACAACATTCGCAAGTACTTCAGATTTGATAATAAAATGTGAGAAGAATTTCCAATAGATCTGGGAATGTAGGAAAAATTCAATCCTATAAACATTCGCAAGCCTTTTGACTTTCGCAAAACATCATGGTCTAAGTATGGATAATTTTGAAAGTTGCAAGATAAATGGCGTGTCTTATGACTAATTTTGTTTCCCTTCTCCCCTAATCTAAGGTAAAAGTCTCTAGCAACATGAGTTGTTAACTCATGAATGAGATCATGCATCACAAAGGGCCCATCTCTAGTTTTGTAACTAAGAAGAAAGTGCAAATCACTTATAGGTAAGGGTTGAAAGAATGATCTTAAAGTTAAATCATTAAAGTACTCATGACCAGCATCTTCTAAAGTCATGTCCCCCGGCTGTAGAAAACCTTCTGCCATTCACATCAAGATTAATTCCTCCTTATTAAATTGATAATCCTCTGAAAATAAAGAACAATAAGCAAAGCATTGTTTTAAATGGGGAGGGAGATAATAATAACTGACTCTTAAAACTGGAATAATCTCGTTGTCCAATAAATCCCACAAAAAGTTTTTTAAAATAGCATTCCAATCTTCAAAGTTAGACTTTGATCGACAAAGTCCCCCAAGTACTTTTGCAGCTAAGGGCAATCCCTTGCACTTGCTAGCAACGTCTCTTCCAACTTTTTCTAAGCATGAGTTCATGGTTGAATCATTGAATTGAAAAGCATGTGCAGCGAAAATTGACAAACAATCTTCATCGGACAAGACATTTAAGTGATAAAATGATGAGATGGTTTTGACCATCAAAGCAACATGCACTAGACAAGTCGTAACAAGAATTTTACATCCTCCCACTCTATTATAAAGCAAATTCTTCAAAGTATCCCAACCAGTGTATTTGTCATTCTAGACATCGTCAAGAACAACTAAAATTTTTTTTCCTTTCTAACTTATTAGCCAAATGAAGCCGGAGAAGATTCAAATCCATATTATCACATGCAAAATTTGGACTAATAGATTTTATTATAGTTTGTGCTATTTTCAAAAGATCAAATGCTTCAAAAACACAAACCCATACAGTAAGATCAAATTTTTGCCTCACATCTTCATCATTATAGACCAAATTAACTAAGGTGGTCTTCCCAACCCTGCCCATACCCACAATGGGGATTACAGACAACGGACCACCCTCAACATTAAACATCAGCTTAATTATATCTTCTTTTTCTTTCTTCCTTCCGCACACTTCAGAGACGTCCACATGAGATGTAACTGCAGGTCTCCACAGCAAAGTTTCCGTTCCAGTGCTCTTCTCCAAATTGAGGGCATTCTTTTGTCCCACAATTCTTTCAATTCTATCAATCATAGCTTCTAACTTATTTGCCATTCTTGTATCTCGCAAATTAAGAGAAGCAAAGGAGAAAAATCACACCTTTTTCTGAGTGGTAGCTCGGGTGGAAATTTCATCCATCAAGTCTTCCAAGTCATAAGCAGCATCTTTGAGTTCATCTAGCCAATCTTTCACAGCAGGATCCTTGAATTGTTTGAGTTCTGCATCACTGAGCACAGCTCTTGCAGCAATCAAGGATGGCTTCAAATGATGAAATAACTTGTCATCCAGCTTCTTTCCACAAATGAAGTTGATCATGTCAGCCAGTTCTGGCGTTAACCTCTCCAAAAACACATTGAAGACAGCAGAGAGAAGAGCTCCACCTACAAGTGATGCAGCCATGATCTCTTTGGTACTCACTGATTTTGCCGGAAACAGTGAAAATGCTCACAAACTTGCACAGCAGGGGAGATGAAGTAATACAGGTGGGCTCATTTTATTTGATTTCATGAATTTAAATTCCATGTGAGCACGGCTTCAACTCCCAGTTCCGTCGAGGTACTAAATTATCAATATTCCTAAGCTTTTATTCCCCCCCCCCCCCCCCCCCGATTCAATTTGATCATTATGCAATTTCTGCAACATCGAGAGACGTCCTTGGAGGAACCAAATTAAAGCAAGCTGATTAGAAAATTATTTTATGTTTTGCCACTTCGTTACCCTACAAGTCTTCCATGATCGTAATGAGGGCCATGTGAATGCAATGAATTAGAAAATTACGTGATTAAAGAATCATTAGCAAACAAAACGGAACACAGGATGGTCCCTCCAAATTGAATTTAAGTACACATTTTTCAAGAGTCACTCTGTTTACCGGTCTTCTGTGTCCTTTCAGCATTTTGTGAAACGTCCTTAGAGGAAATTACATTTTTTGACCATGGGGCTAATTATATTCCATAGTTTCGATTATTTATAACATACTCGTGTATGTTATATTTAAAGACGCAGAGGGAGTAACAGCTTTCGGAACAAAAATCTATGAAATGCTCTTTCTATCATCTCATTTCTATTTTAATTAATAAAAATAATATAAAATATTTTTCCTATGTTTTCATACATCTAAATAAATTGATTTATATATAATATATATGCATATATATATAGTTTGAAGTAATTTGCAGATACTTTGAGTTATACCAAAAAAAAAACTACTTTCAGTATTCAATGTAAAAGTTAAATAATTAATTTGCAAATATTAAAAAAAGTAATTAAATTAATTATTTGTAATAAATAAATATTGTCTTTCTTAATATATCCTTATTATTCATGTACATTAAAATCACCCTTTGATAAAAAATCCTTAACATATGCAATCAACATACAAATTAGTTGGGAATAAAATGAATAAATATTAAAGACAAAGTAGATTAAAGTTTTGTATTTATAATGAAATTGATAATCTAATTAATCAGCTCAAACACACGTCATTTCTAAGAAAATAATTGTGTCATGAGTTTCATTCCATGTGAACACGGGTCCCAATACCTTAGCTCCTTTGAGGTAATATAGTTATGCCAATGAACATCCCTCCAAATTGAACTCAACGTTATGTGGTCGCATTCTTCCACAAATCACAGCTATCTAATGAATATAACATTTAATTTGCCCAGCAATAAGAGCGTAAATTTTACTTAGATTTGTGATCCATCAATGCAAATTGATATGAATTTAAATTACATTTCAGGCCTATAGATGCTTTTTTTTTTTTCCAACCATAGCGCACGCCTCTTCTGTACCCAAACAAAACCTAGCAACTGTTTGGCAGGAAAAGGAGGCAGAAGAGAGATTTTAAAAGAGGAAATGGGAGGGAAGGGGAGAGAACACAACACCTAAGACATGCGGATGTGAGTGCACTAAAGCAGGGAATAATGTCTCTAAATACTCATTCTACTCTATAATATAAAACGTTAGTTCGGCTTTCTCATATATCAATAAATACTAGCCATTAAATGTGTTTCAAATTGGTGACAGTTACCTGTTTTACTCTTATTAAAGATGTGAGAGGAAAATTCTTTCATCTCTTTTGTATTTAGAACTTTCTTTTCTCCTTATAACAAGGGATAAAAATAAAAATAAAATATCATTAACTACTCTGTCAATCTCTTATATTCTAGACCAAAATTTTCCTTTACAAGACTTCTTACATCACAGGAGGGAGTACAACAAAAGAATCATTAAAAAAAAAAAAATTATCAAGCCTAGTCTTTGTATACTAATCCTCTGCCCTTAGCGCATTTTTCTGAAACGTTCTTTGAGGAAACAAACCAGGCTAATTATATTTTAATATGTGGTCACTAATGCTGGGTTGAATTTTGAAAGAAGAGACTGCGATGGAGATTGAAATTAAATTCCATCTAAACACGGTTCCCAACTCCTAGCCCCTTTGAGGTTGAAAGTAGTAATATTAATCATTCACAAAGAAAGTACCTCCAAATTGAACTTAAAAATTATGTGGTCACTTTCTTCCATAAATCACAGCTAATCTCTTGAATATAAAATTTAATAGGAGAACTCCTATGAGTTCCTGAGAAAAAAAATTTAATTACCAAAAAGTCTTAATAATAATAAGTGAGGAGCATAAACCAGTTGTCATTTTTTATATTAGAACTTAGCATGGCATGCTATTAAGTTGTCAACGGTTTAAAGTAATTAAATCCCTTTCTTAAAATCTAATTGCAATTCCCCCAAATTTAATTTGTCCTGGCAATAAAAACATAAATTTAGTTATAAATTACATTTGAGGGAATTGCTTCCTTTTTTTTTGGTCAAGATAGTGCATGCCTCTAGTGACACAATGTCTCTAGGGGGTTTTAACTTGTCCCATCCTGATCGTTTTGTTCTGGTCTCAGGCAAGCTCAATTCAGAATAAGATAGGATAAAAAATATTTTGGGATGGGACAACTACGGAATGGGACAAAACAATGACTAGGACGAGAGGAGGCCCAATCGCGGGTTTTTTTTATAAAAAAATTACTTACTAATAATTATTATTAGATTATTCAATTTATTTTTTAAAAATAATTATTTTTTATAATGATTTCCCACTCTTAAGTTGCATTATTATTTCAATAAAAATCTCATTCCTTAATAAAATAATTCATAAAGCCATTATATAATATTTCTTTTATGACAGTTTTTTTTGACAATATTGTTTTTACACTTTTTTTACATTATATAACAAGAGGCTCACATCATCACCCAACAGCCAATAAGATGCAAAAGAAACTACCACCTAGGATCGTCATGTGGACCAATCACAAAACCACTATAAGGTTTATAGAATATATAGATTGGGCTTTCTACGTAATTATTTTTTTAGTGTTTTATCTTTAAAAACTGAATAAAAAAACATTATAACATAAAAAACAAGATCTAGGCCTAGAATCACAGTGGTTTGTCAAAAAAAAAAAAACCAGACATCTTGTCCCGTCCCATGTCCCCTCTCAGTCCTGTTAGCCTTGGGATGAGACGAGACACGAGATGAAAATTCCGTGCTGTCCCTATCACTGAGATGAGCCTGTCCTAATCCTATCTCAGACTAGGCTAGTTTCAATTTCAGACCAATATCTTTTTGGGTTAATCTAAATTAGGATATTACTTTACTATTTATTTCTAATAAAAGGACATATATGTATGCCTAACAAAAATAAATAAATATATGTCCATGTGGAATTTGTATCTTCTTTATTCTTAAAGAAATTTTTGTTAATTTTATGAAGACATGTATGGGATTCATTTGAATATGTGTTTTTGTAGAATTCACTTTTAGGATACAAATGTTAATATTGATTGCAGATATTGTTATTTAGTATATATTCTCATTAAGTATTGTTTTGTTGGGGATATTTCCCTGCGGTGATTGTGTGTGAGACATAGGGGGAAAAAAAAGAGAAAATTTTGATTATTCTTTCTTATATATATGAGCTTTGTTTGTGATATCTTATATTGTGAAAATTCTATATATAAACTTAACTAGTTATTTTCTAACACAAATACATATAGATAATTCCACATGCATATATAAATTGTATTGAAAATGTCTGGATATTAGCCAAAAGCTTTCTAAACATGCTTGTGCTTTGTCTGTTAAAATTAAATGTAGTAACGTTGATTTCAAGCATGCATGATTTCTTGAAAATATCATTTTCCTTCGATGATTTAAATATGATATGATGACACCACGATATATAGAGGTTCGGATCCAAAAAAAAAAAAATTGAATCCTACATCCTCTCCCCAAGCATTAAACCTGAGAATTTTGTAAGTGATGAGTATTCACATTACATTATACACATCTTCATCCCAACATTTAAGCAAGCAGAAAAAAGGCCGTTATATACAGAATTACAGATTCATCACGCACACTATCACAAAAAGCTTCTTTGGAAAAAAAAAAAAAAGCACCCAAGCCACAAAAAAATAGGAGAATATTCTGTAAAAGAAAGAGGATGGATTTCATCAGCACAGGTTCAAGACTTCAGGTCTGCAAATCCCTTGCTGTCATTCTTGCTGATGCTGCATTTTAAGCGTATGATGAGTCTAGAGACAGCCCATGGAAGTGAGGGAAAAGGGAGGGAAAAAAAAAGAGCAATGGAAATGGAGATCGTCTAGCGAATAAGAATCAAAGGAAAATATAGGGTAGAAAAGTTAATTAAACAAGCAGATTATGATAGAAAGAAGAAAATCAAAGGTTTTGGTTTAGTTCAAACCTCTTTAGAATAGGAATATATGAAGGGGATCTTAATTGCAGCATTACCCCTCGCAAAGAAGAAGCATTGAGTTTGCTTTTATCAGTTAGAACTAACTATGTTGGACTCTATCTGCAACAACCCCATAAAAAGAAAAACTCAATCAGAGATGATTTAAAAAAAGAAACAAGATATGATATTTGTTATGTAGACATGAACTTGTCTAGAAGTGTACCTTCATGATTATTTTTTGCCAATAATTCCTCATTACATGATTGGTATAAGCTTAGAGGAATCTGCACTTCTGCA